GACGAAAGTTACACATATATATTACATTTGATCAACCAATAAAAATTATCATAAATCACATGATATGTTCGTACAATAATAAAACATGGTAAATGCACAAAAATATTTAGACGAAAATTATCCAAAAAATGAAAGAAAATACATAAGAAATTTAGATATTGCTTGTTTATTAGATACTAGCAATATAACGAGTTGGAGGAATACAAAAAGTACTTTGATTGGTGTAGCAAGAAATATTGCTAATAGTAATAGTATACTCACTAAGAAATTAGAAGGTCATTTAGATTTAAGAGACTTTGAAAATCTAAATGACTTACGCTGTTTTAATAACTTATTAAAAAGTATTGACTTAAATAATAATTCTAGTCTGATTCATATTGAATGTCAAGGGAATCGGTTACAGAATGTTGAATTTCTTGCTCAGTTGCCTTGTCCTGAAAAACTTGTTTATTTAGATATTAGGAACAACAATTTTCCTATTCAGAATTTATTTTTTCTAAATCCTTTTGATAACTTAGAAATACTTTATATAGGTAATAATAAATTCTATGGTTCACTAGAACCCTTGCGAAATATGAAAAGAATAAAAACCTTAGCAATTGAAAACACCGATATTAAGGATGGATTAAAATATTTGCCTTTAGAAGAAATGGAATCTTTTTCTTGTTCGGAAAAAAACACAAGAATTTATAGATTTTGGGACAGGAAAAGTAGATTAGATGAAAGTGAGATTAAATCTATTTTAAGAAAGAAACACAATGAATTATTAAGCGAACTACGTAGTGAACTAAACATGCAAAACTCAACTGGACAAAAACTTGAAAGGAAGAATAAAAAATTGGAAACACAACTTACAAAAGAAAGAACAAAAAATATTGAATTAGTTGCTGAATATGGATTATTGAAAAAGCAAGTCGAGGAAGTTGTTAATAATAAATTGAGTGATGGTGAGTTGATAGCAAGTGCAAAGTGTTTAAATCATGAAATTAACATTAGGGAACTTGAAGAAAACTTACGGGTAGCAGAAAATAGTAATAAAGAATTAAGGGAAAAACTTGTTGAAGAGAAAGAAAGTATAAAAAAGAATATAGAAGAATATTTGCACAAAGTTGATGCAATAAAAAATAGCAAAGCAAGCCTTGGCAAATCAATTATGATAAACACTGGGGGAGCTTTGATTAACGCGGCTGGAGCTATTGGCGTTGGAAGTGTAATAGCAAAATATACAGAAAGGAAAGAAGAAGAAAAAAGGCTTAAACCATTGCATGAAGATGAAATGGAACACCGCAAACAATTGTTGCAAATATCCACAGAAGTTCACTCAACTCAGGTAGTGACAATGAGACCTACCATTGCTGATCTGGCTGTTTTTCCAATAGCAGGTGCTGGTTTGTCTGAAGTTATTGGTGGTATGACTGGTGATAAAACAAAAGTTAAATTATTTGGTGAAGAAGAAAGTGGGGAAGGGCAAGCAGAAATAATAATGGAGGTGAAGGAAGGATTGGCAGACATAGTAGATGCTAGCAAAGAGTTAATAGAGTCAATAGCACAAATAGTTCAATGATTTTAAGTTGGATGATTTAAAAATATATACTGCTAGCAATCTATAAAGTTTATCTGCAATTCATATAAAATGTGTGATTTTGGAGAGAAAATCAATTAAATTTATTTATAAATATAATAAATAAACAAAATAAATTATCAATAAATATGAAAAAAATAATTCATTATCTACCCATCAAACCCAATTTTCTAACTTTGACCTTACCAATTATTATTTTTACTATTATCATTGTAATTAATAATATATAATCATATTTAAATCCATAAATTCAATTAACTAACTATTTAATTGCCTTATCAAAATTATATTTCATAATTTAATTACTTTGATTCAATTTACCAAATTCATCACTTAATGCTCTACTTGTATGATATGCTAATGGATGTGACTTGTGAATTTGTTGTGAATTACTACTACTAATACTATTAATATCATTATCATTATTGATAATTTCTTTAAGTTGATTACAAGCAAATTTAAAAAGTTCTCCAATAGTTGGTCTCTTGGCTGGATCCACATCCCAACACCTTTGCATCATTTGTGCATAATCACCAGGCATTCCTGGTAATATTGGTGGACGTAAACCTACACATATATTAAGCATTAAATCATGATTATGAGCTTTATCATCAAATGGTGGATGACCTGCAAATATTTCCCACATTAACATCCCAACACTATAAATATCTGATTCTTTTGTGTATTTTTTTCCTCTAAATAGTTCTGGTGCAATATAAGGTAAAATTCCATAGATTTCATTTGATAATGCTTCATCAACTGGTCCACATAATCCTAAATCTGTGATATAACAACTACCTCCTTGCAATAATATATTACCACTATGTA